CGGCGCAGGCGCAGGCCCCGCCTCGGAGGACCGCGGTGGGATGCGGGTCCGCGCGTGGCCTGGCGGGACAGGGGCTACGGCGGTGGGGGGCGCCGGAAGAAGGCGATCCGAGGCCTCCGTGCCCACTTGGTCTCCGGGCTGCCCCGAGAGCGTGCTGGCCGAACTAAGCTAGAGTCAGCCCGTGCGTGGTCAGGACGACCGCAGGAGCCCCGCCCGGGGGAGGGCGTGCTCGGGTCCCCCCATCGGAGCCCACGGGGCTCCCTGCGTCACTCACGGTCAGCGCTGAGGTCTGCGGTGGCCCCCGGAGCCCCTGGATTTGCCTCTTCCCTCTGAGAATCAGGGTTAGTCGCTGACTGCTCGTTGATGCTTGAATATTCCAGATACGCTGCTGCTTAGGGCTTGGAACACTGCTCCCTGGATGTCCATCTCCGTGCCTTCAGTCCTCGTGCAGACCTCCTTAGCTCTGACGCGTAGTCTACACCGCACTGCGCTGACGCCTAGTCTAAACCTCCCGCTCCCGCGAGCAAACCTCCTACCTGGCGCTTACTCTTTTATACCCCCGACAGTAAACGCATTGCACCAATCTTTACAATGTGTTTATTCCCTATGCCCATCTTTCAGTGTCTGGCTTTCCCGAAAGAAGTTAGGATTTTTATGTGTTCTGTTCAACTGAGACATTCCAAGTGCCTAGAAAAAGTGAAAAATATAAAACTTTCCCTGAAATAATAAAAAGTATAAAGCAAAAAATTTTAAAATGGCCATTTTTATTTTATTTTATTTTATTTTATTGCATTTTTGAGACAGGGTTTCACTATGCAGTTCAGGCTGGCCTTGAGCTCACTTTGTAGTGCAGGCTGGTCTAGAACTCACAATGATCCTCCTGCCTCAGCCTCCCAAATGCTGGGATTACAGGCATGCGCCACCATGCCCTGTAGGCCGTGATTTTAATTTAAAATTTTCTCTTGGTTCCAGTATCTACCAGCTAATCATAAGAATCTAACCTACATCATATAAACACTTTGAGCCGGGAGTGGTGGCACACGCCTGTAACCCAGCACTCGGGAGGCTGAGGCAGGAGGATGGTTGCGAGTTCAAGACCAGCCTGGGCTACAAAGTGAGCTCAAGGCCAGCCTGAACTGCACAGCCAGACCCTGCCTCAAAAAGACCAAAAAAAAAAACCCAAAACCACTTTGATTTTCCAGTAACCCTAAGTTCAGTGATAACCATTTATGTGACATTTAATGCAATTTTTTGACCAGTGATATCTTATCTTATTTCACTGAATAGGAATAATATGATAAGGGTAGGAATTTATTGATTTGATGCTCAAAGGCATATTGTTTCTAAAAATTTCCTCTGACCAAAAAAAAAAAAAAAATTGCTTAACTTGATATATGGTCTTGTATTCCTTCCTCTGAATTATAAATATGATAACATTGTTCAAATGTGTTACCAAGGCCTGGAGTATAGCTCAGCAGCACAAGTGCTTGCCGGGCAAGTGCAAGGTCCTGAGTTTGATTCTCAGTAAAAAAAAAAAAAACACAAACGTCTTACCATTTCCTGCCATTTATCCACAAATGATAAAATTCATTATGTGACCAAATTTTTAGATTTTTGTTCATAAAAAGCCCATAATATAGGATTGAATAGCAATGACCTAATTTCAGTTGCTATAGCTATTCTGCTGACACTCTTGTCAGTATAAAGTCAATTAAGGACACAATTCCATTCAATCCTACAGTAGCATTTGTATGGGTATATGTGCATAATTATTTGCTCAGTGTTATATCTGTAACATGATCTCCTTACATATTTAATTTATCCCTAACGATTTAAAACAATTTAAAGGGGCCAGGGATTTAGCTCAGCGGGGCCAAGGATTTAGCTCAGCGGTGCAGCAGCTGCCTGGCAAGTGTGAGGTCCTGAGTTTTGAGTCCCAGTAACAAAAAAATTTAAAAAAATAAAAATAAATAAAACAATTTAAAGCTACAGATTTTGCCTTACAATTGAGCTTTTAATAAAATTATGCTGTTCAATGTCAAAATGTAGTTTTAATTAAAAATTAATAATTATTTTAAATAAAAGTTTTTCTAGAGTCAATACTACGATGTCTCTGCACGTCCTACAGTTGTTACAAAATAAAATCTTATTCCAAGGGACAAGGGTGGAAAATAGACACTGTTCATAATTTATACACATAGTATACATCGAAAATGCTGATAAGTAGAATCAACTGTTGCAGTATAAAAGAAACTGTTATGCACCCTAATCCATAACAAGCGAAAGCTTTCACAGCTCAGACAATAGGAAGCAACATGTTGTTCTACCCAACTGCTAATCATTACTTACCAGTTCATGGGGGGGAAAAAGAACTCATGGAGAAAAAAAATTCACGTAGCTGCTACACTGGTCTGACTCTGCAATTTTTTACTTATTTAAATAAATTTTCCTTTAAAAAAATTCAAATAGATTTTTTTTCTAAAAGTATGCTATTAATATATTTGTTAAAAAGTCCTTCCCAGGTTAGCCTGATCTACAAAGTGAGTTCAAGGCCAGCCTGAAGAACGTAGTGAGACCCTGTCTCAAACAGACCAAAAAAAAAAAAAAAAAAGCCTCCTTGCCAAAACTTGGTATCAGCCATTCTCCCGCATTTAGAGATGGTATATGGAGTCAATCCAGAATTCATATCCAACCTCTGCTGCACAATTAGCTAGTTGACTCTGAGCAGAGCTCTCCTTAACCTTCCTTCCTCCTAATAGGACTAACAGTGTTCCCTACCTCCAGGGCTCTTTTGAGAAACCAGGGGAAAACTCAAGTTCTTAGCCCTGGGGCTGGCTCAGGCTAAGTGCTAGTGCGTAAATGCCAGCTATTACCTCCACACAAGTATATAATTAAGCTCATGGCCCTATATTTGTAGGAATACTGAGAAAACGCCTCATAAAGGGGCCCAGCTGGTTTGAGTTCTACAGCCAGAACTACAGTGTTCAATTAAATGAACATTTTTAAAGGGGCACTAACATTTTTTTCTATCACCACAATGTGCCAGACGCCATGCTAGACAAAAAAGGAAGTGAAGGAAAACAAGGCCAGAGCTAAAACATCCTCACAGGTGAGCGACACGGGGCAAACGTTTCATGCAGAACTACTTTGTAAATCACATGACCGTGCTTCCTGGATCGCGAAGGCACTGCTAGTCCTGGCTTAGCCGTTCTTCGCGCCTCCTTTTCTGCTCGATGTTGTTCAGGTTTCTGTGATAAATGCTACGGTCACTCCTAACTGCACAAACTGCCTGGCACGCGGGTAGGAAGCCGTAAGTTCTGTGTAAAGCCGTGGAGACGTCACATGGTCTGACTTGGGTGCTTTTGCAGATAGGAAAAAAATATATAAGACAGTATAGAGCCTGGAGGCAAACATCAAATATCTCAGCTAATTAGTAGACGGGATGAGAAACATGGCCCGCACTCCGATCTGAGGAGACTGGGAACATCCGGAAGCACATGGAAATTAGGGAGAAGGCCTTTCCTGTGACCGGAGTAGCCAAGACATCGGATGCGGACCAAGGCCAAACACTGCCTTCTGCCTCTACCTAGAGCTGACCTTGCCGTTCATCAAACCACAAATATTCACTGAATGTCCTCGGTCCGCCAGGTAGCAAACCAACTGCTGTGGGCAAGCTCCCTACAAAGCAAGGCCTTTGTCTTGAACAAAATGTCACACAGCAGTAGTTGACTAATAAGACACAGTAGCCTCGTGAACGCCATCAAGAGATCTCTGGGGTCTCAACGGGTCCAAAAGAGTCTTCTCAGAGGGAGAGGAATTCCAGGTGGGCCTCGGGAAGAAGGTGGTCAGCTATTCAGATGGAGGAGGTGTCTTCTAATCTCTGCACAGCACATGCCCAGGGCTTGTGGGAAGTGACTTTGACTTGCTTCGTGAGGGGACAGGATTAAGAGGGCAGATGAAGGTATATACAGCTTCGACACACGGCCCATAATCTAGCTGCACTGCTGTCTCGCAGCTCAAAAAAAGAAAAAAAAAATAAATAAAAAAAAGAAGAAGAAAAGAAAACTGTAAGAAATGCACTAGGGGCTGGGGATTTAGCTCAGCGGCAAAGCGCCTGCCTGGCAAGGGCAAGGTCGTGAGTTCGGTTCCCAGTACCGGAGAAAAACCAAAAAAAAAAAAAAAAAAAAACAGAAATGCACTAAATTTTGCCTCTGGAGAAAGACATGGAAGAGGAGGGACCCTTTGGAGGATCTGCTGTCTCAGGCTAGAGACCACCAGAGAACATACATTTCTTTTCCTTTTTTCTGTCTTTCTTTTCACAGTTACCACATACGAGGCAAGTAGTGCAGATTTTTCCTCCTATGATAGTAAAAATGCTGCTTTTCTGTATTTGTTCAAGTTGAAAGTATGAGTCAGCGAAAAGAACCCTAACAGGCAGGCAATTACGGCAATAAAGACAGAGGCGCCGTGGCTCCTAAGCAAACACAAAGCTCCGCGAGCAGAGGCTCAGACCCTGGCGCCTCAAAGGTGCGTTCCCAGGAGGCGCGAGAACCGCAGCGGGCTTGGAGCTGCGCGTAGGGACGGGCCCTAGAGTGGGAAGGGGCAGGAAACCAACCGCAGGGCCTGTGCCGGCCCGGCCTTCTCAGCACCAGGCAGCAGTCTCCAGCGCGCTCGCGGCTCCCTGGCCCGGAGGGACCAGCAGAAGCACCTCCAGGGCCGGCCAGGAAGCCTGGCAGCAGGCACCGTCAGGACGCCCGCCACAGAGCACGCGGTGGCCCTCAAGGCCCTGGAAACTGGTGCCCTTATCACAGGAAGGACAGAAACCTCTCCACGGCCTCCTGGCACAGAGGTCTATGTGTTGCCCCCATACTGAGTAAAAATTAGGGGTAAAGTTGGAAGGAGGAGAAGATGCCAAAACAGCATATTCCATCAGCAAGGGTTCACCGCGTCTGAGTGACTCAGCTAGTGCTTTTGTGATTGGTAACTTTTTTTTTTTTCCGGTACCGGGAATCAAACTTGGGACCTCGTGCTTGCCAGGCAGGCACGATGCCACTGAGCTATATTCCCAGTCCTTCAGGTAGTGCTTTTGCCCCTGCTGCTAGCTACAGAGCTGGAACCAGCCATGTTGGCACATGTTGAAATCCCACTCTTAGAAGGATGGGAGCCGGGCATGGTGGCTCACGCCTGTAATCCCAGCACTAGGGAGGCTGAGGCAGGAGGATCGTTGTGAGTTCGAGACCAGCCTGGCCTACAAAGTGAGCTCAAGGCCAGCCTGAACTGCATAGCGAGACCCTGTCTCAAAAAGACAAAAAAAAAAAGAAGGCTGAGGCAGGAGGATCACAAGTTCAAGCCCAGTCTGGGTAGCTTACTGACTTAGCAAGACCCCATCTCAAAAAGGTCCAGAGGCTGTGGGTTCAATCCACAGTGTGGAAAAAATAATAGTAATAACTTAAGTAGCTGGGAGGGCTCCGGCACCTTGCTCCCTATCTCGGCTACTGTGGTAGCACACATGCCTAGCCTAGAGAATCCTGGGACTGTGGTGGGCAGACTCCCACAGATGTATCACCCTCTTCCCCTGCAGTCCTTGCTTCAGTCTCCAGATACAACAACCTTAGCTGGGTGGGCTTGGTCGAGAGATCTGAACCCTTAAAAGTGCAGTGTTTCTCCTGCGAGTGGCAGAGAGAGAAGTCAGATCAGAAGCACGAAAGGATTCGATTTACACGGGCTGGCTTGGAGGTGGGGGCGGGGCACACCGCAAAGAATTCGGACAGCCCGGAGGAGCAGCGCGTGGCCCTGGCTGACAGCCCAAAAAGGAACAGGGATCCAAGTCCTACATCCACAAGGAACGGAATTCCGCCAGAAGGAGGACCGTGGAAGCCGCTCTTTCCTCCAGAGCCTCCACGTGGAACCTTGGACTTGCGAACAGCTTGCTTTCAGCCTGTGATACTGTGGGCTGGACACCTGGCCACTCCATGCTGGACTTCCGGCCCACAGAGACTGTAACTAATAAATGTGTGCTGCTGCAGACCAGAAGACTGATTAATTTGTTACACAGCGATAGCAAACGAATACAGATGCAGGTGGATTGCAAGTTGGGGCCCAAACCTGGGCAGCTTACTGACATAGCAAGACCTTGTCTTAAAAGAAAAAATAAAAAAGGGCTGGGGATGTAACTCAGTACAGAGGCCCTGCATTCAAGCCCCAGTACCAGAAAAGGAAGCAAGAGAGGGAGGGAAGGAAGTGGGGAGAGGAAGGAGAGAAAAGGGAACGCAGCCACTGTCATCGAATCAGCTCTTCTCTAGACCAGCTGTGAGGTGGCCACCACCCTCGAGAGTGCATGAGTCAGGCTGGGGATTTAGCTCAGCGGCACAGCGCCTGCCTGGCAAGCGCAAGGTCGTGAGTTCAATTCCCAGTACCAGAAAAAAAAACAACAAAAGAAAGAGTGCATGAGTCCCCATGGTATTATCAAGCCACAAAGAGAAATTAATCAATTCTCAGGCATTAATAAACAATAGACAATGGTTGTCCATGTATGACTATATGGGGAAGAGGAACCAGGGAAATTTTTTCCTGATAATTTGGCAGGAACTTACGTGTTATTTTCATTCAAGTAAAAAATCAAAGGCAATTTTATTTTGAAATAGTAGTCTGGTGAGTCCTTGCAATCATGACTGGCATTAGGGTCTCTGTAGCATACAGGGCCAGTCTCTGAGAAGGAAAGTGTGCACAGGCAATGTTCCCTAGTGAAAAGAGAAGGTCTCTAGGGCCAGGCAGATGTGGTTTTGTTTTGCAAGCTGTCTGGACCTGTGTGCAATTTTCTTTAACCTGTTAGAGTTCTAGCCTACTTGTCATAAAATAAGAATGATACCTATCTAAGAACACTTAGGGCAAGGGAAATAGGTTGTGTAAAGTCTCAATGCCTATAGCATAGTAGATCATCAATAATTTGTCTCATTATTACAGTGGATTTTTCCCACAACTTCCTGGCAATGTTTCTATAGTGAAGGTAAATAAATTATACCATATAACAATCCAGTGCTATCCTACAGAAATGTAATGCAAATGACAAAATTAATTTACATTTTCTAAAGAGAAACATATGAAGTTAGCCCTAATAACAAAGGGCTGTATTTTTATATAGTCTATATTTTTAACTAAAACTTCAAAACTCAGCGTGTACTTCTTACACTTGTAATACATCTCAATCCAGAACAGCTACAATTCAAGAACAACTCAACAGTAATATGTAGCTAGTGGTTATGGTATTGGATAGCTCAGCAATAGACTTTTAAATACATATTTCAATAGACACTTTTTGTTAATCCTAAAATAAATGTAAACAGATAATCATTGACATATGGGAATGCTCACTCTGGCAAACTTAGTGATTTTTTTTCTTTTTTTTTGTCTTTTTGAGACAAGGTCTCACTATGCAGTTCAGGCTGGCCTTGAGCTCACTTTGTAGCCCAGGCTGGCCTCAAACTCGCAAGGATACTCCTGCCTCAGCCTCCCGAGTGCTGGGATTACAGGCGTGTGCACCTACCCAGCAAACTTAGATGATTTTTTGAAAAGCCCATTCCATCTTAGTTATAATGAATCACAATTTAATCAGAGGGTCAGGATAGAAGTTGTACACTGATCTCTAATTTCAAATTCCAAAACATACAACAAATCAAAGCTACACAGCAAGCAACCGTGACCGCTGAAGCAAAAACCTGTGTTGCACAGAAGAATACAGATTTGTTTTTAGACTAACTTTAATGGATTATTATATATTTATTTCCTTTGCTATTTTTCTTTGACAACTTCTGGATTAGACTTTTGGATTTTACATAAGCTTGTTTTTTCTAAGTCAGCGTCCCCATTAGCAAAAAAAAAAAAAGACGAAAATAAATCAGAAGCGGAGAAATATGACCCATTCGCAGCAGCTGCCCAAGGGCTAGCTCTCCGCGCACACACATAACACACACGCACGCACGCACGCACGCACGCACGCACGCAGGATCTGTGGTTGCTGTACTGCACATGAAGTCCCGGGGTTCTTCCAGCATGATTCACACCGGGATCTTTCTCCCAGAGTAGACTCAGGGTGGACAAATAGGCCACTCCCGAACACGTACAATACCAGGTAAGCACTGAAAAGCACGGAGACATACCCAAAATATGCTGTGCGATTCGGTGCAAAGCGCATCCTTTTCAGAGGGGTGAGGGAAAGTTTCCTGCAAAGTGTCCCTGTGAGGTTTTTGAGAACGGCCTGTAACAGGGTATGGGCCTCAGTCCACGACCCGTGGCTCACAGCGGCCGCGGCCTAGGGACGGCGCCCCCGGCCTGAGTGGTTGGGATGGAGGACCCGGCGAGGCAAGGAAGGCGGGCCACACCGCGCCGGCCCTGGCAGCCCTGCCCCGCAGGCTCCCTGGCTCGCCTCTCGTGCCCTCCCGACTCCTCCCTCCTCGCCTCTCGGCCTCCCTCGCTGCACCCGGCCCGGACCTTGCCCTCGGCGCGCCTTACCGCGGGTGAGCGGTGCTCAGCTCCTGCCCCGCAGCCTCGGCCCGCGCTGCTTCCTCCTGCTCGGTTCTGTTTGCACTCAGGAAGCTGCTGAATCAAGAGGCTGCCACCACGGCTTCCGGCTCCGCCATCGCTGTGTGGGGAGAGGAAGTTGGGCGCTCAGTACTACCACAGAGCAAGTTCCATGGGGGACGCTGGGCGAAGCTAGGGTCCGCGAAAGAATTCCTAACAGAGCTCCTGCTGCTGAGAACTCATCCGAGAATGAAAGGAAGGATGGAGTTTTCTAAGCATGAAAGAACAACATGTGCAAAATTCAGAGAACCAGCCGTGGTGGCGCTTATAATCCCAGCACTGAGGAGGCTGAGACAGGAGGGTCTCCGACTGTTTGAAGCCAGCCTGGGCTACATAGTGAGACTCTGTCTCAAAAAGACTAGAGGGAGACAGAGACAGAGACAGAGCGAGAGAGCGAGAGAGCGAGAGAGCGAGAGAGCGAGAGAGCGAGAGAGCGAGAGCGAGAGAGAGAGAGAGAGAGGAAAGAAATGATGCTGAGCCTGCAGAGATCAGATCATGCTAAGGAGTTTGATTTCTTTTTAATTTCTTGTTTGTTCTGGTGCTAGAGATTGAGCTCAAGTTCTCACATATGATAAGCAAATTTTGATTCTATTTGGAAGATGATAATGAGTTAGGCAGAAAGACAAAATACACTAATGATAGTACTTTATGAGTAAAGTTCGTGTATACAGAGATATGATTCATGTATCATACATGACCTCTAAACTATAAAGCATTCTTACTTCACTTTTGTGTTCAACTCTATGTAGAATTCATTCTTTTTTTGTTTTGCTTTTGTTGTGTTTTGACACAGGGTCTTGCTCTGTAGTTCAGACTGACCTTGAACTCACTGTTTAGCCCAGGCTGGCCTCAAACTCACTGCCTCAGCCTCCCCAGTGCTGGGATTACAGGTGTGTACCACCATGCCCAGGGCAGAATTCAGTCTCAAAGGGTAGAATGTGAACCTTAAAAGGAAAATTAGTTTCTATATGAATATTTCACATTCATGTTTTTTTGTTTTTCTGTACCGGAGACCTAAGGCCTGCCTCTGCACAGAGCTACCTCTCCAGCCCTTTTCTCTTCTGTTTTGAGGCAATATCTCACTAAGTTGCCCAGGCTTGGCTCAGACTTGCAATTCTCCTGCCTCAGCCTCTCAGAGTGCTGAGATTACAGGTGTAACACCACACATGACTCATCTGTTTGTTTTTAAGTCAATATCCGGAAGGTAGATTTCTTCCGGGTTCATTTTGTTCATGCGTTTGTTTTTGTGGTGCTGGGGACCATAACCAGGGCTTCACACATGCTAGGCACATGTCCTATCACTGAGCTACCCCTCTAGTCCTCTGGATCATCTTTTCTTCTCAGATTATTTGTTTGTTTATTGTGCGGTACCAGAAATTGAACCTGGAGCTTTACGCGTGCTTGGCAAGCATTGACCCCTGAGCTATACCCGTAGCCCTTTTTGTTTTTTAATTGTGAGACAAGGTCTCATTAACTTGCTCAGACTGGCCTGGAACTTGCTATCTCGCTCCACCCTCCTGAGTAGCTGGGTTTATAGGCAACTACCATCATTCCTGGCCCTCAGGGTTACTTTAAATTTTTTTGTTGTTGTTGTTCTTTTTTGAGACAGGGTCTCGCTATTCAGTTCAGGCTGGCCTTGAGCTCACTTTGTAGCCCAGGTTGGTCTTGAACTTGCAAGGATCCTCCTGAGTGCTGGGATTACAGGCGTGCGCCACCACGCCCGGCTACTTTAACATCAATGGTTTTTCATTTGTGGGGGCTCTCTCCTAAGGAGTAAAACCGCACACACAGCATATTTAGTCTGAGCAATGGCATTTCCATGTGGCATTCAGCTAGTCATACTTTGTCTCCAAGATGATTTTTTCATTTTTACTTTCTCTAACAGTATAGAAGTCCATATTCTACTCTATTAAAAAGTAGATTAAGCAGGTATATTGGTAAACACACTGTCTTGGTTACTTTTTTCTCGCTGCTGGGACAAAATACCTGACGCCCAAAATTAAGGAAGTAAGGTTTATTTCGCTTACAGTTCATGGAAGTTTCAATCCGTACTTGGTAGATTATAAGGCAGAGTGGCACGTGGCAGAGAGCTGCATCTCAGGGCGGCAGCCACAGCTAAGCAACAACTCACTTACACCGGGGTGGAATCGGGGGAGGAATGCCCCAAGCACTCTTTTCCTGTCCCTTACATATGCAAACTACCCACTCCAGGGCGGGTGCAGCTCTCACACCCATATTCAAACTCTAATAGCCTGCCCCAGGGCCGCAGGAGGCTTTGGGGGGACACACAGACATAAACCATAACACACACCTGTAATCCCAGCCCAGCACTTGGTAGGCTGAAGCAGGATCATGAGTTTGAAACCAGACTGGATTAAACAGAGAGATCCTGTCTCAAAAAAACAGAAAGTGTAGCCTGGCGTGGTGGCGCACAGGAGGCTGAGGCAGGAGGATCGTTGCGAGTTTGAGACCAACCTGGGCTACAAAGTGAACTCAAGTCCAGCCTGAACTGCACAGGGAGACCCTGTCTCAAAAGGACAAAAAAACAAAAACAAAAAACAAAAAACAAAAAAACCCAGAAAGTAGCAATGTCCTTCACTTGGATTCTGGCTCTGTGCTAGGCCACTTGCCTCGCATGCACAAAGACCTGGGTTTGATCCTGGCACAGGGTGGCAGGGAGCACTCCTTAGCAGAGGCTGATGGGATCGTGGGAACCCTGTGAGTGAGTGTGCTGCTAGGACGTGGACCTTGTCAGGAGAGGCAGGTCATGGGGTGTGACCCGGAAGTGTATCACCCTCCTTAGCTCTTTTCAATCTCTCCTTCCTGGTCACTATGTTTTGTTCTTATTTGTTTTTTCCTTCTTTCCCTCCTGTCCTCTGCACCAGTTTCCCAAAGCTTGGGTGACCTTCCTTTATCTGTCAGCCTTGCTTCTAATCTCCTTCTCTTATTTCTGTAGTTTTTTCTCTTATCCCTTTTAAATTTTCTTTCCTGAGGCTAAAATCACTCTATGGCGGGGATATTTACTGTATACAATTTTCTGATTTGTTTTAGATTTTGTTATATAACTATAAAATCTTGCACCTCTGGTTAAAGGTGGCACAATAACAGTTATCACAGTTTGTCATTTTCTAGACTGTGCTTGATGCTTTTGTTATTACTGATTGTGCAACTTCAGTCCAGGAGGCAGAGTTGTGATGAGTTGTTCTTCCTTGTATGCCAATCCCAAGAGGGTCTGGGGGTCACAAACAAGGAAGGCAGACCCATACGCAGAACACGGGTCTATGCAGTAAGGACAAAGCGCTGCGCCTTCCCTTCCATGATGCAAGTGGTCCAGTATTGTCAACCTGCCACCAGGTTGCGGACTACTCACCCCCGGGAATGGTGCCGTATCAGGAACTCAGTGCTGGCCTGTGCTGCTGGCATGTCGGGCATTCGGCAGTGGCCGTGGCCATGTTGCTGAGCCCATGCATAACCTCCATCCCTGCGGCCGTGGCCACTTTGTTTATAAACCCACTGGGCAGTGACAGCAGAGGCTGAAGAAAGAGGTTGGCTGCCACCTACAGCATGGGCCATCTTGTCCACTTGATTATCAGAGTATGGGGTATAAATATCTTCATGTCCTTGCTCATATGCGCAGGTCTACCCAACACTCCTTCTCTAAACATCTTTGTCACCAACGCTCCACTCATATTTCTTCCTGACCACTGGCTACACCCACAAATCAGGATACAGTCCCACATCTGGCCATCTTTTCTTCCAGGCAAAATATACTACCAAGTGCACTACCCAAAGTTCTACCCACTGGGAAGATTTTCCCTCACTACTGTCCTTCAGGGATGTCTCTGGAAGGAGCTGTAATGCTGCAGCTGTCCACTTGTGGGTGGTGCCTGCGTAATGTAATGAACCATCCATAGACCAGGCCCTGGCCTTCTCTTCCTGACAGCTGATCACATGGCACACACCATGAGGCCACAGGTGCACGCTGGGAGACAGAAGGCGGTGTAGCAGGCGTGGGAGCTGCGGGCATCTGGGCAGTGCTTTCCTGTAACTTGTACCCTCTGGACCTGCTGCGGCTTGATCGTGAATATACAAGTTCCATTTAATGATAGAGCGTTGCTGTGCACATCCAACTTTACAACTCAGAGGATCAGACAATACGCAGCTCATGACAGGCAGCTCGGGTCGCAGGGGGCCCTGGTGTCCCACAGTCAGGTGTTCAGTTTCCACTAGGGCCCAGTAGCAGGCACAGCGCTGTTTTTCAGTGGAAGAGTAGCTGTCTGCAGATGATGGCAGAGCCTTGCTCCAAGATCCAAAGGCCTCCGCCTGTGGAAGCTGCCAGAGACTCCAAACAGCATCTGTGCCTGCCACTGACCCCTCAGGGACCATTGCACCTGCTGGGTCACACAGCCCCAGCGGCAGAGCGACCTGCATGGCAGCCCAGGCCTGTTGCGGAGCCTTCCCTTGTTGTGGGCCCCACTCAGATCTAGTGGCTTTGTGAGTCACTCGGTAAGTGGGCCAGAGCAAGACACCTAGGTGAGGAAGGTGTTGCTTCTAAAATCCAAGTGGGCTCACCAGACACCGCGCCTCTTTTTGCTTGTAGGGGGAGCCAGATGCGATAACTTACCTTTTACCTTAGAAGGGTTACCTCTGCGTGCCCCTCACCACTGGACTGGAGATTTCACTGGGATAGAGAGACCTTGAATTTTAGTCGGCTTTGTTTTCCATCCTCTGGCTCATTAATGCTTTACAGATAACTCCAGAGCGGTTGCTGCCTCCTCATTTGGCCCAATCAGCATAACACCGTGAATGTCACGGGCCTTGTGGGAGAAAAGGGGATCGGGATCCCTGCAGACTAAGTGCGACCCAGAGCTGGAGAGTTACCATAACCCTGGGTGGGACAGCGAAGGCGTACTGCTGGCTTTGCCAGCAAATTGCTTCTGAGGGGCTGTCTGGACCCGTATGGAGAAGACAATCACAAATCCACAGCTGCACACCGGTACCAGGAAATGTGCTAAACTGCTCAAGCAAGGACCCCACATCTGGTACCGCAGCTGCACCTGGGGTCACCACTTGATTCAGTTAATGGTAACCCAACGTCGTTCTCCAAGACCCATCCGTCTTCTACACAGGCCAAAAAAGGAGAATTAAACGGGGATGTGGTGGGGACTCCCACCCCTGCATCCGTCAGGTCCCTCGCAGTGGCACTGATCTCTGCAATCCCTCCAGAGATGCGATGTCTTTGGTTAACTATTTTACCAGGAAAAAGGCAGATGTGATGGCTTACATTTGGTCTTTCCAACTATAATCACCTTCACACTACAGGTTAGGGGAGGTACCAAGTGTGTACCTATCCGAATCATGCATCTGAAACAGGGACATAGCTACAAGATGGATTCAGGGATCTACAGGACGTACCGTGAGTCAGAACTTTGCTAAAACTCCATTGATCAGCCGACTTCCATAGGGCCCTACTCTTTTTTTGTTTTGTTGTGTCTTCTTAGACACTTTTATTGAGGGTGGCGCTATGTAGTTCAGGCTGTCCTTGAACTCACCACGTAGCCCGGGCTGGCCTCAAACTTGTAGCAATCCTGCCTCAGCCTCCGAGTGCTGGGATCACAGGTGTGTGCCAACACAGCTGGCAATGAAAACCAGGCTTTGTTTGATTTTTCTTTCTTTTTATTAATTAAGTGTATCGGTGCAGTTTAGGGATGCATTATTATCACATTCATCATGGAGGATTTGTTGCTGTGCTGCAGGTTTATACGTGTCAGACCATTCTGAGCATTGCTCTACTTGTGCTGTCCATTAGGCTAAGTACATGCACCCTATCTTCGGCCACTGGACCCCAGCCACTAGGGGATCCAATGAAACCCATTCCCCTTAAGTGTCCCATCTCAGTGACTGCGGTCCCCACTTAACGGTCTGGCATAGAGAGCAGGGCAAAGGCTCTCCAGGAATGCGGAGGCGCCCCTCACGAATCTGTTTCTCAGGGTGTTACTGGACAGTACATGTTCTGGATCACCCCAGTGTGGAGGGTCAGGCTTACCATGACAGATCCAGCTCAGAGCTCCCATGTCCCTGAGCCTTGGCATCCCCTCATCAACAGTACACCAACAAGGGCTGGGGATATAGCTCAGTGGCATAAGTGCCTGCCTGGCAAGCGCAAGGTCATGAGTTTGATCCCCGGTACCGAGAAAAAACAAAACAAAACAAAACAAAACAGTACACCAAGGAGTATCAGGCATCTCCAACTCACTCACGAGGCCATCTTTCGATCCATACTTCTGCCAACCAGTCAAATAAATGATTAACACCCTTTTAAACTCCATGAGCTGCAACATTAAATTCAGAATCTCCACTTAATGGATCCACATTGGCAAACTCACCCTGACCCAGGTGTATGTTTTTGCCCGTTATCCCCACACCCTTAAAATCCATTCCTACACTTGTTCATCATGCCTCTGCGTTTTTTTTTTTTTTTTTTTTTTTGAGACAGGGTGTCCCTGTGCAGTTCAGGCTGGCCTTGAGCTCACTTTGTAGCCCAGGCTGGTCTCAAACTCACAGTGATCCTCCTGCCTCAGCCTCCCGAGTGCTGGGATCACAGGCAGCATGCGCCACCACGCCTAGCTTTTTTTTTTTTTTTTTGTCTCATGCCTCTGCTTATGAGAGAAAACTCAAGAAGTTCTTTGGGAGAATAGTGGACCACCTCAGGGGTCAAACTATGCACTGTGCCATTAGGAGCCTGTAGCAATTTAGGCCTATTTATAGGCCTAGGGGCAAAAGTGAGTGGTGAGGGTGGGTCCTGAGGACAGTCAGCATTATCCTGCTTGCACAGCACAGGATTCGTTTCCTCAGGTATGCCAGGAAAGGCCAACGTCAAGGGGCGGGCGTGGGGATGCCTCCACCACTGCGTGTATGGGGGGGAAATGTTTTCCTTGGGCAAAATAATCTCATTAGAGTCTAACGTCCCAGCCTCATCAGGATCCTCCCAACATCATTCCAATTGATGGGATCCAATTAGAGCCTGAACCTTTACTTCAGATGCCCTTCAAGCTCTGTATTTCAGCCCACGGAATCGCGAGGGCCACATTTAGGTTTCTGCAATCTTAGCCCTGTGGCTAAAGGCGAGCAGATTCTCCAGCAGGACTGAGAAAATTTAGATTTTTTTACACATGTCTGGAGCAGGGGATTTGAATTTGAGCTCCTTATTTTCCTTTATTAATTTGTCTTCACAAACAGAATGGGCTGGGGATATAGCTCAGCGGCACAAGCGCCTGCCTGGCAATCGCAAGGTCCTGAGTTTGATTCCCATTACCGAAAAAGAAACACAAACAGAAGTCTAGATTCTTATGCCTGCTCTGAGCTCATTATTTTCTTTTACTAGCTTCTTCAGAGATATGAGGAGCAACCAGCCAGCATCCCTCCATTGCCCACTCTGCCAAAAATAGTCAGAAGTATCATGTATGGAGTCACTAAGTTCCTGCATCTCATCAGCGGTAAATTAGGATGATCTAATGGATCAAATGGGCCGTATGGGTAGGTACGGAGAAGGCATTTGCCGATCAACAGCTGCAGACCAGCTATCAGGAGACATGCTAAGTTTTCATGCCTGCCTTGCTTATAATGTCAAACAATGGATCCCACACCATAGGGATCAATGTGCCACACATTATCAGAAAGAGACACAATGGTCTCATCAAATTAGAAAGCCAGGAGCCACTAAAGCCATTAAAGAATTTCATGTTTACAATTCTGTTTCTCTAGAGCCACTTCTAGTACCAAAATTTGTACAGTCTGAGTTCACTAGAGCAGTAGATTTTATACAATAATAAAATTTAGACAATAATACATATTCTATATAATAATACTGTACGTATGTGTAAATACATGTTTACAAGGTGGGCTTACAATGGCTGCCTGCAGGGAGAGGTATGGAAGAATGCAGAAGGGCTGTCTGGAGGCTGGAATCCAGACGATCCGGTCACACGCAAAGGGCCTGGAGCCTAGCGCCCAGTCCCAGCCGGAGCCGAAGGGTGAGAAGGCTGTGCTAGGAGCCTGGAGAGAGCTGTCCCGAGGCAACGGCAGCTCAGAGGAACTAACAGGAGACGCCGTCTCCTTCCCTCCTTGTGTTGCATTCGGGCTACAAACCTACGGGCTGGTGCCGCTGGTGCCCAGGCTGGGTCTTTGGTCTTCACTAAATCCATTCAGCTACGCACAGAGCTTGGCTGGTCCATTCAGTTGGGCGTTTCTTACTCAGACACACCTGTCCACTAACGCGCTGAGGCTTGCTGTGATGCCCGTGCTGGCCTCAAGCTCTGGACTCTGCCTCAGCCTCCTGAGTGGCCGGGGCAGCCGGCGTGTGTCCCCACGCCAGGCTCTCCCTGCAGTGTGTATTTGGGTTTCTATGATTAATAATGCTGTTGAACAAATACTCAATTGTAATACAGTGCGTCAGCTTTTTTTCCGCTGTGACCAAAGAGCTGAAAAAGAAAACTTCAAAGAGGAAATACTTATTTTGGCTTACGGTTTCAGAGGCCTCAGTCCATGGCTGGCAGCTCCACTGCTTTTAGGCTGGTGGCAAGGCAGGTACAGCCTGGCAAAGGGCGTGACAAGCTGTTCACCCCATGGCAGCCGGGAAGCAGGGAGAAAGAGGACAGGGGCAAGGTACAGGACCAAGGCCGTGCTTATACGATGCGCTGTCTTCAGCGAACACCTCCTGTTCCCACTATCTCTCAGTAATGCCATCAAGTTATGATCTAATCCATGGATCAACTCAGGGATGAAATTAGGGCCTTTGTGATTAATTATCTTCCAAAGCCCCGCCTCTAAACATGTGAAACCTCTGGAGCATATTTGAGAGCTAAAGCATAATGTACGAGGGGTGAGCAAAACGTGGTGAATGTGTCAATATAATGTTATAGCAAAAGAAAGGTACATTCTATTAATCCCCCTCAAAATGCTTCCCCTCACTTTAAATACATTTATTTCATCATCACTTTTTTCTTTTTTTGGCATCAAGAATCAAACTCAGGGCCTCGCACTTGCCAGGCAGGCACTTGTGCCATAGAACTGTATCCCCGGCCCTATTTCATCATTCTTGTGAATGTCTTTCCTTGTTTTTGCTATATGGTTCAGACTGGCCTTGAAGTCACTATGTAGTCCAGGCTGGCCTTGAACTCTCAGTGATCCTCCTGCCTCAGCCTCCCGAGTGCTGGGATTACAGGCAATTTTTGTGAGTTTTTGAAACAATTCTGGAAGGCTTCCCCCCCCCCTTTTGGTTTTTTTGAGACAGGGTCTCGCTATATAGTTCAGGCTGGCCTTGAACTCACTATGCAGCCCAGGGTATCCCCTAACTCATGGCAATCCTCCTGCCTCAGACTCCTAAGTGCCAGGATTACAGACCTGTGCTGCCATGCTCAGCCCACAACCCTGTTTTTGACAGTAAAGTGAGAGTCAAATGGAGTAGCGTTTCTGGTATGGTATGAGGTAGGGATGCGGTTTCTTTCTGTTACGTTCACTGAACAGTTTCTCCTTTCTCCTTTTCTAGCACTTCATCTTTATCATATCCCATGCCTACGTGTACGTCTGTTTCCAAGATTTCATTGGCTACTTTGTTTACTATTGCACAATTCCATACCAGCTTACTAAATATACCTTCATAATAAAAATATGTAGTGTGCAGGACAAACACTTTCTCCCTGAGCTTGCTTTCCTTCCTTTCTTTCTTTCTTCTTTCCTTCCTTCCTTCCTTTCTTTTTCTTTCTTTCTTTCTTTCTTTCTTTCTTTCTTTCTTTCTTTCTTTCTTCTTTTCTTTCTTCATATTTTATTAGTAATGCTTACAGTGTATAAGAGTCACTGTGTGGAGTTAGCACATGTACATTACATATCTTAATTATTTTTATTCTTTCCTACTTCCCTTGCTTCCTCCTCTATCTCTTGCCCCTTGTCCTTTGCAAAACATCTATCCCTTTGTTTCCTATTAGCCATCCTTTATTTAGTTCTTTAATTTATATTTCAGGTTTCTGATATAAGAGAAACCATGTGATATTTAAGCTTGTGTGTCTGATTTATTTCACTTAATATTATGGTCTTGAGGTGTATCTATTTTCCTACAAATGACTTAAGTTCATCTTCTTTATGGCAGAGTACTCCATTGTGTGTAAATACATTTTCTTTATCATTTCATCTGCTGATGGGCATTTAAGCTGCCTCCAGGATTTAGTTACTACAAACTGAATTACTATGAACATGGGTGTGCATGTATCACTATAATATTTTGTCTCTAACTCTTTTGGGAAAGTACCTAGAGGGGGAATAGCTGGGCTGAGTGGAATTTACATTTTTAACATTGAGTAATCTCCATGCTGATTTTCATAGTGATTGAACATTCCCCCCAGTATGTAGTTTACGTTCTTTGCCCCATCACATTCCCTCCAGTAACGTAGGAGGGTTCCCGTTCCCCAGCAGCCTCACCACCGTTCATTACTATTTGATTTCTGATGATAGCCGTTCTTTCTGGAGGAGATGGAATCTCACTGTTTGTTTTTTGTTATTGCTGGTTTTTTGAGACAGGGTCTCACTATGTAGTTCAGCCTGGATTTGAACTCACTATGTAGCCCAGGCTGGTCTCGAACTTGTGGTGGTGCTCCTGCCTGATAAGCGTGTGTCACCACACCCAGTTCAACGTTGTTTTAATTTTCATGTCACCCATGTCCCGATATGGTAAAATTCTTTTCATGTATTACTGGCCATGTGTATTTCTTCTTCTGAAAAGTGTCTATTCATTTTTTAAATTGGGTTTTTTATTTTAGGAGATCTAATTGCTTTTGACTTCTTTCTATATTCTAGATATTATTTCTCTGTCTGAAGTGTAGCTGGCAAAATTCTTTTCCCATTCTGTAGGTTGTTCACTCTCTTGGTTGTTTGCTGTACAGAAACTTTTTAATTTGATATAATCCCACTGTGGATTTTTGGTATTATTTGTGGGGCTCTGTTCAGAAGTCCTCATTTATGTCTATGTCTTCAAGGATTTTATCTATTTTATCTCCCAAAAGATTAAGTGTTTCTATCTTAATACTCATACTTTTATCCATTTTGCTTTCAGTTTAGTACATGGTGAGAGATACGAGTCTACATTCAGTGTTACGCATGTGTAGAGCCAGTCTTCCCAAATCTGTTTGCTAAGGAGGCAATCTTTCCTCCAGCATATGTTTGCATATGTTTTTGGGCATATAGTCAAAGATTAGATGGCTGAATGTGCCTGGGTTTTCTTCTGCGCCCTATATTCTGTTCCATGATCCACATGTCTGCTGTTGTTCCAGTACAGTGCTGTTTTGTATCAGTGTCACTTTGTAATGTAACTTGAAGTCCAGGATTGTGGTGCCTCCTGCTCTACTCTCATCAGCCAGGACAGATTTTGTTGTTCCAGGTCTCCTGTGGTTCCGTATGAATTTGAGGATTGCTTTCTCCAGTTCTGTGAGGAAATTATACACTGAAGTTTTACATACTTTTTGGATGTTAGTTAAACTTCACAATTTTAATGATTCAAACAAAAGTCATTGATAAAGCCAGGCATGGTGGCGCATGCTTGTAATCTCAGCACTTGGGAGGCTGAGGCAGGAGGATCATTCCAAGTTTGAGATCAGCCTGGGCTTCAAAGTGAGCTCAAGGCCAGCCTGAATTGCATAGTGAAACCCTGACAAAAAAAGACAGAAAAAAGGTCAGTGAACCTATAAAAAGGGATTATAAGGGCTGGGGATTTAGCTCAGTGGCACAGTGCCTGCCTGGCAAGTGCGATGTCATGAGTTCGATTCCCAGTACCAGAAGAAAAAAAAAGGGGGGGAATTATAATCACATTCATTTTTGGAATAGTAAAATTTATAGTACAGAACATTTAGCATGACGACAAAAGACACTTCTTCACTGATAAATGTTAGTCACTTACAGGCTATACTTCTCTGTCCTAAGGAAAATTTCCAGTAGCCTGGAACATGAAAGTGGACCCTTCCTCCCAGCTCTCTTACATAAACGATGTGTCCCTAGAAGCCTATCGCATTAGGCAGATACAGCACCTGACACGCACATCTAAAGGAGAGTTCTAATCTGGCTCATGTTTGAGTGGGTTCAGTCCATGGCCAGCTGACTCCAAGGCAGAAACACCATGGTGGAAAGACGTGGTGAACAAAGATGTTTAGTTCAGGGGCTGGGGATTTAGCTCAGTGGCACAGTGCCTGCCTGGCAAGCACAAGGTTGTGAGTTCGATTCCCGGTACCAGAAAAAAGCCAAAAAAAAAAAAAAAAGATGTTTAGTTCATGGAGATGGGAAACAGAACAGGGGAAGAGCACCAGAGAGGAAAAGTCAAGGGGCCAGATCTAAACTCAAATCCCCGCCTCCATGATCTACCCAGACACACACAAGCATGTTTCACCAATCCCGTAGCCAGTCAGGTTGTCATACCTCCCTAACTCCTAAATCCCATCCCTTGTCAACTTCACAATCAAACATTTCTCCTTAAATCATACTTAATTTCCAAGTAAATACAATAACTTAATAATTCCACTGAACACAAGATAACCATCCTGAGTACAACCTACATACAATAAACTCCTTCCCCCAAAGTCTCAGCAATTCCTGCATTTTTCAGAAATCCAAGCCAAAATCTTCTCTGAGACTCAAGGCAAATGCTTATCTGTGAACTGGTATAAGAAGGAACAGCAAGTTACATGATCCCAAGGTACAGCGGCACACTCCCGTCCCAAAAAGGGGGAATCGAACAGTAGAAAACAGCCAAACCCAGCAAGACTGAAACCCAAGAGGGCGAACATTAAGTCGCGTGGCTCCATGTCTTGAATCCAGGGCACAGAGTGGTGAGATGTCAGTTCCGAAGTGCGTGGACACCCACACCCTTGTGGCTTTGCCACGGCAGCTGGCACATTCTCTTGGGCTGGCTCCACCTACTGACCGCAACTTCCCTTGGCAGGCGTCCCACGCTCCTGGCACATCTGACTTGCCGGGTTCTCCACTGCAGCTTCAGTTTCTTTCTCACAACCTCATGCGTTCTCAGGACTCCTTGCCTAGCCGTCCATGCCTTCCTTTCAAGTCTGGGTGGGAGACTCCCTGTACCCACACCGCTTGCATCCTGCATGCCAGGCAAAACCAACTTCAAGTGCACGACGCCAATGTCTGCTGCGAACAGGAGTGGGAACAGACCACGGCTGCGACTCCCCCTTGAGCCAGGGCTGCCGTGGCCTCCGGGTAGCTGCACACAGTGAGATGAAGCCTGGGAGCCAGTTCCCTGTGAAGGCCTCCTTCAGCAGGAGCTGCAAGGACTCTCTGTTCAGTTAGACGTCTACCCTTTTGCACCTTTGACTCTGAGACATTCATAGTCTTCCTGGTTGCTCGAGACTCCTTTTTTTCTTTTCCCTGTACCAAGTACCTGGCTACTTTTTAACAGCACCTGTCTTTTAAGCAGCCACATCTCTTTGGGCCCAACTTGACACGTGGTTCCCGCTGGGCCAAAATTTCCATTTTTCACACTTTTCTGTTCTGCTTTTGACCCCCAATTCTCACTATAAATTTGGCTAACCTCCCCCAGCAGTACTCATGCCAAAGGAAGAACGTCAATTCCTTGCCTATAATTCCGGCACTTTGCTTCCAGCGGCGTTTGGGGCTTCTCTGACTTGCATCTCCAAACTTTTCCAGATTCCTCCCACAAACCGGTTCCACAGGCTTCAGAACCACGTGGTCAGATTCAGTCACAGTAATGTTCCCATTGCTCCTGTGCCCATTTTCTGTCTTAGCCGACCTTCCCTTTGCGGGCACGACACCTGACGCCAGAAACTTGAAGGAAGATGTAGCCACTGAGCTACATCCCCCGCCCTGGTTCATGTTTTTCAAGGAGAGTCAGACCATGGTCAGCGGTCTCCAAAGCAGAAGTACTAAGGCAGAAGGGCATGGCCCAGCAAGGGTGCTTAGTACAGGGCAATCTGGAAGCTGAGCAGAAGAGGGCTGCAAGGTGAGCGGAGGGAGCAGGTACCAGGCACAGCAGCAGAGAGCAGAGGGGCCAACCACAGCCCTCCCAGTCTCTCAGGCTCCTTTTGGTCCTGCTTGGGAGGATGACCCCCAGCCTCCTCCGGCTGGCCGGTGCCCTCCTCCTGATTTTTCTAGTTCTCCTTTTAGGACCCTGCATTATCCAACTTCTAAGGCGTTTTATCCAACAGGTCGCCCGGTCCAGCACCACCAGAGAACTATTCCTACTAACGAGGCCTGGCACGAGGGCCTGTTGACAACCTTGGAATTCCCCAAGCTACCCCAGGACAACACCCCCACTCAGCAGGAAGCAGCTTGAGAGATCCACGCCCCTCTGCCCATAGAGACAAGAAGAGGGGAACGTTAGGGTCCACTCGGTCCTAACCCCTGTGACGAAATGAAAGCCAACCGCGCCTCCCCTACAGACATCTGTGATCTAATTTGCATCGGACAAGACCGCTGTAACCTAATTTCTAACCGAGTCCACAAATGTCAGCCCCTCCCAGAAACGTCCTGGCCCCTCAAACAAAGACGAAGACCACGCCCTCTAATAGTTTCGGCCACTTCTAACGGGTTCCGCCCTCCACCTACGCGTATATAAAGCTAGCTCCTCGCCCGTGCGGGTCCTATCCCTCCGTCACTCCCATTCCAATAAAATTCCTCTCTCCTCTCTGTTGCTGTGCCCGGGTACCTGTTCCCTCTGCGGACCTTACACCCAATCCCCCGGGTAGATCCCAAAGCCAATCAAACTGACACTCCATCCCAATTGCCACACCTATTCATTCTAAAGTGATTTAAAAGGAAAAGGAGTTCAGTAGCACAAGCACCTGCCTAGCAAGCGCAAGGTCCTGAGTTCGATTCCCAGTACCAAAACAAAACAGAACAAAACAAAACAAAACAAAAAACAAAAAGGAAAAGGAACCAGCATCACATCTATATGAAAATACTATCTAGGTGGGGGGAGGACAATAAAGAATATGGAAAATATATGGTAAATTAAATACACACACTAGAAAAATATGACAGAAGAGGAGAAAGGAGCAAATATACCCTCCATGAAAGAATAATAATTTTAGCTGGGAGTGATTGCATTTACCTATAATTCCAGGACTTGGGAGGCTGAAGCAGGAGGATCACTGCAACTTTGAGCTTAGCCTGAGCTACACAGTGAGCTCAAGGCCAGCCTACATTACAAAGTGAGACCCTGTCTCAACGAGAAAAGCATAATAATTTTTAGAAACCTTCCTGAACTTGTTGCATATATAAAATAAGATGATAATGAAAGATTGTAAAATACACTGGCAGACAACAGAAGGAAATGAAAGGTGAGTTTGCAGAGCTCAGGTAGAAAGGAAAAAATGTCTAAAATAAATGTCGATTAAATATATATTACGAAAGCCCTCATAGGAGACATAAGTCAGAAGATGGAGAAAAATCAGCACAATTATATACAACTAAAGCAAGAGTTTAAAAGGATTGTAGTAGCCAGGCATGGTGGCACAGGCCTATAATCCCAGCACTAGGGAGGCTGAGACCAGCCTGGGCTACAAAGTGAGTTCAAGGTCAGACCCTGTCTCAAAAAGACACAAACAAACAAATAAAAAGGATTGTAGTGAAAATATGACTGTGGAAGATAAACACGATCCAACACGTGCATAATTTGTTTCCTTGCAGATATGAACCCTCTGCTGGCACCCAAAGGGACTATCATAAGTAATTTAAGATACAAATCAAGGAAAAAGTATTTCTCCAGATAAAAGGTATTTTGACTCTACCATGAACCAAACAACATGAACCTACCCTAGCAAAGGGTTAAAGAATGTCAGAGATGAGGAAAAAAGACTGGTTAGCATTCCCAAAGTCACAGGAGTTGTGTCTCAGATTTCTCCATTACCCTGGTTTAGCAGTTAGGTAAAAAAAAATCTCCTCAAAGAATTCAGAGTCCTCAGGGAAAGAAAGTAGGACTCAATTTTATACCTAGTTAAACTGTTCTTTGAGGTAAAAGCAGAATAGAAGCACAATTCTAAATAGGGAAGAACTTTTATCTCTTCTTTTCCTCCCACCCTTCTTATGTTCTTATTTTGCTGGGGTGTTTTTTTTGTTTTTTGTTTTTTGTTTTTTGTTTTTGTTTTTGTTTTGCTGGTTTTTGACGCAGGGTCTCACTATGTAGTCCAGGCTGGCCTTGAACTCACTGTGGAGTCCAGGTTGGCCTCAAGCACATGGCCATCCTCCTACCGTGGCCTCCAAGTGCTGGGAGTACAGGCGTGCATCACCACACTTGCTTATAGCAGCACAATTTATAATACCTAAACCTTGGAAGCCACCTATCAACATTGGGTGATAAACACTGAATGGATAAAGAAAATGTAGGATTTATGCACAACGGAGTGTACCGCTCTGCCACAAAGAAGGATAAATTTGAGGCATTTCTGGGTAAATGGATGCACCTCACAACCATAATATTGAGTGAAATGAATCAGACACGCAAGTTTAAAGATCACATGGTTCCTCTTAGATGAGAAACCCAAAACATAAATAAAGAACAAAATAAAAGATAGATAACAGGGGCCGGAGATATAGCTCAGTAGTGCAGCGCCTGCCTGGCAAGTGTGAAGCCCTGAGTTTGATTCCCAGCACCAAAAAAAAGATAGTAGGAGGTCAGGAAACATTTCTCCAAATGGGAAAGGGATCAAAAGGTGAGTAAAGGAAGGAAAAGGTACTGAAAAAAGACAATTGAAGAAAAAACAGGAATAGAGTGTATCAGCCAATGTTTTACTAGAGAAACAGCTTTAACCAAGATCTACAAATGTATAAGAAATGACAAGATTGGCTTACGGTGGTCAGCTGCAGAGATGGCGAGGAAGCGTGCAGAGGGTGTCTGCACGCTGGAGACCGAAGAGTGCAGTCCAAGGGCTGGAGCTCGACGCAGAGTCCCGTGGGGGTCCGTATCAGGAGCCGAAGGAGCTGACGGAAGTGAAGAGTCTGCCCTAAGAGCCAGGAGATGATGCCCAAGCTGAAGGCAAAGGCTGGAGCTCCTCCTAAGAACAGAATCCCTCATTTCTCCTTTATAACACCCAGGCTATGAGCTGCCCTAGGGTGGGTCTTCTCCCCCTGTGGTGGGGAATTGCTGATTTAGCTAAATTTAGTTAAGCTTCTAACCTTCTCAGTTGACCATTACTTGGAGCTTTTACAGACTGAAGGGGAACAAGAATTGGAGGGGACAGGGAGGGACTTGAAGGGAAGGGGGCAAAAAACAAGGTGTGTTACCTGCATGCACCAGTTCCACGCACTTCAAACTTGCAACCCTCCTGCCTCAGCCTCAGCTGAGCTTACAAACATGCAACTGCGGCACCCCTCCTCCAAGGGTTATTTTTACCACATATTGGGACAACAAGAAAAAGAAAGTAAAAGTTCAAATAATATATTTAAGAAAATTCCTCTGGCAGTGGGGTTTTTAAAGGAGCCCTTCAGGTGATTTAATATATAGGAAAATGTAGAAACCACTTCACTATGGGAACAATGATATTCACTTACTTAATCCTTAGTTGGCCACGTGTGCGGACAAAGCACTGCTGAGTTCTACCAGGACTGCGAAACGAGGAGACAGCAGTGTGCTAACACCCCCAGGTTAAATCTTTTATTTTGCTTTATTTTGTTTTGTTTTGTTTTGTGAGACAGAATCTCGCTATGCAGTTCAAACTGGCCTTGAACTCACTACATAGCTCAGGCTGGCCTCAAACTCATGGTGATCCTCCTGTCTCAGCCTCCGAGCACTGGGATTAGAGGCGTGCGCTACCACTCCCGGCCCCCATATTGAGTCTTACGTGAAAAAATGAAGAACTCTTTTGGTATTGAAAGCAGTTAGGATATCGGCAGCCCAGGAATTACACACGTGGAACAAAAGGCTCCGAGCGTACAACCGCTCCCTGGGCTGCTTTTTGAGGAGTTCAGAACCGCTGAGCAACTGGATTCTGAATTCTGTATCAGGAAGCTCCCAGACCCTCACTGCTCAGTTTAAGCCTCCAGGGTCACTTGGGGTGGGTCCTCCCAGGTGCTGAGCAGGATCCCACACCCGGCGTACCCATAAGAACACCTGGACAAGGAACCTTCCTCAGCGACCCAGTCACGCACCCCCTCCTCCCCTTCGGCGGGAGCTTTTCCTTTGTCTTTGCTTTCCCAAACAACTTCTCCATCTGCAACTTGCCGCATCCCGCCACAGTTTCATCCTTCAACTCAGTGAGACTGGGATCCTGTGTAACAATATGATACATTGTTTCAGGGCATGACTTTGGCATTGATGACAGTCTCTTTTTTCTGTCTTTTTGAGGCAGGATCTCCCTATGCAGTTCAGGCTGGCCTTGAGCTCACATTGCAGCCCAGGCTGGTCTTGAACTCACAATGATCCTCCTGCCTCAGCCTCCCAAGTGCTGGGATTACAGATGTGAACCACTATGCCCCACTTTGATGACCTTTCTTGATGATGACTCCAGCTCATTGTTATAGAAATCAACAACCGGTCTGGGCCTGGTGGTGAAGCCCATAATCTCAGCACTCAGGAGGCTGAGGCAGGAGGGTTCCTGAGAGTTTGAGGCCAGCCTGGACTACATAGTGAGTTCAAGGCCAGCCTGAACCACATAGCAAGATCCTATCTTAAAGAAAGAAAGAAAGAAAGAAAGAAAGAAAGAAAGAAAGAAAGAAAGAAAGAAAGAAAGGACAAACTAGTGTTATATTGAATAAACCTAGTCAGTGTTGTCAGTAGCCAGAATATCCATACCAACTATGGTGACTGACTAAAGAACATTAAACACAGTAGAGGTAATAAATAAATAAATAAATAAATACATAAAATAAACAAATTGAAAAATAAGCAGAATAGTAGCCTGATGTAACTAGCCTTGCAAATTCTGGTATCCAGTTCGAGGCCAAGCTGCACTACATAGTGAGTTCGAGGCCCACCTGGACCACACAGCGAGACCCCGTCTCAAAAAACCAAACGGGGGAAAGAAAAGGAACGTTCAGGGCCTCCTTGTGGGGAGAAAAGGAGTTGGGCCCTGCTTTCTTTCCTGCTGTCTGTAACTGTCTAATTTTGTTCTGGGTGTTCCGGTTTATCTTTGCCTTTCCTCCACAGAAGCACTGAATTCCATTCCGGGATTTGCAGCAGCTCGTCAGAGGCTGCAGTTCCCAGCAGGTGGGCCCTGGGTAGCACTGCCCTCCAGGTTTCTCCTTCTGCCTTAGGAACACCCCCCTCTGCCCCCACTGTGGTTTCCCCTCGGAATTCTGATTCACCACTCTCAGCCATAAAAATAGGCTTTCACCTTCCTGCTTCTCTCACAGTGAATCCACCACCCTTCGACGTGGTCTGAGCACTTTCGAGTTCCGAGAGACCACGGAGTGGGCTGGAACAACCCGTCCCAGGGGCCTTGAGGCAGCTTCTCAGGGGTCCCTCCCGCTCCGGGACTGCGGAGCTCGCAGGTCGCCCCAGCCCCGGGTGAGCAGACGGCGCGGCCTGCTCGTCCCGGCCCCGTCCACTGGGAGGTTTGAAGATGCTGTTTGCGCGCTGGCGCTTTGGGGCACGGCGTTCCCCGTGAGTCCGTGAAGTCCAAATCTGCTGAGCGCGTTGCTTAACGCCGGGCACAGCGCTTGGGGGCTGCCGTCTTGCAACCCGAACTGTAAACTGGAACTTTACGAGTGGGATTTTTTCCTTTTGTAGTCAAGGGGCTTCCAAACTTCCTCAGGCCTAGAACATAAATGGCTCCCTCACCTTTCCTCCCGCAGGACAGCACGAAGATGCAGACACTGGCCCTGCAGGTCCAGCCCGGTTTTTCCCTTAGGGGAGGGAGGGAGAGGTCTGGGCCCGAAGGGCAAAGCCAGCCAGCCTAACGTGGTAGCCGTGTCAGTGTCCACCCCCCAACACTGGTTACAAAAGGTCACACTGCACCTGCAGGGGTGAGATGGCGACTTGCGGGGAGGGGGCCCCTCATCCCTTGGGCTCGCTGTAAATACACCCTCCTCCCTCCCCGCAGTACAGGGCCTCCCGGGACGTGACGGCGAGGGGCAAGCTGACCTGAGTGTGTGAACCTGAGCGGCGCAGGGACTCGGCAGGCCGCCGGCGGTCCGCTCATTATCTACCACGCTCATGATTTTGTGTAGTTCTACCTGGGGCTATATCAATTGTTGCTTATTTATTTATTTTAATTTCCCTCCAAGTCTCAGTCTTGTGCAATTTTTGCTTTTTATTTATTTTTGTCTTTTTGAGACGGGGTCTCGCTATGCAGTTCAGGCTGGCCTTGCTTTAGCCCAGGCTGGTCTCGAACTTGCAACAATCCTCCTGCCTCAGGCTCTTGAGTGCTGGGATTATGGATGTGTGACATCATGCCTGGCTTGGTTTTTTCAAAACAGGATCTCATTGTGTAGCCCAGGCTGGCCTCAAACTCACAAAGATCCTCCTGCCTCAGCCTCCTGAGTGCTGGGATTACAGGTGTGCATCATGCCTGGAAATTTTTGCTTTTTAAATGTGGAAGCCATAGCAAATCCATACAAATATAGAAATGAAGAGTTCCTAGGTCATCCCGGTGACTTTGATCTGGATATTTTATTATCATGCAGTGTTTATCTTTAGTAACGCTTTCTGTTTGAAAACCTGACATTATTAAAGCTGTATCGGCTTCCCTGTAGTTCGTACTTCATGGTCTGCCTTTTTCTATTCCTTTTCTTCGAATCTGAAGACCCTCACTCAAAGCAGTAGGACTTCACTGGACTGTACCTTGATGGCTCTGCTCTGTGCACATGAAGAAACCGCCCTTCCAGTCTCACTTGGCTCCTCTTCCTGCAGCGTCCAACTCCGACTCCTTTAAAGGTATGAACTGCAGTTAGGAGCGTGGTGGCCATGAGCTCAGGCTGAGACAATTCAAGAACTATGTCTGGGTCAAGGCCTGCTTTCTCATGGACAGATTATGAGATTATATTAGAAACACAGAAACATTATACTGTCCTAGATTATACCAGAAACACAGCTCAGTGTGTAAGGAATGGAACCAAAAGAGTAAAATGTATCTTCAAAAACGGAGCTGCTTCCCCAGAGCTTCTCGGGTTAAGAGCAGAAGTCCCCATCCTCTGCCGGCCAGGTGTAGTGGAGTGCGCCTGTGATCCCAGCACTCGGGAGGCTGAGGCAGGAGGATCGCTGTGAGACTTTGGGGCCAGCCTGGATTACATAGCGAGTTCAAGGCCAGCCTGAATTACAGAGACAGACTGTCTCAAAATAAAACAAAACAACAACAAGAAAATACCCTTTTCTTTCCTGTTCTCAGCTCAGATTACACAGAAAATAGCATATCTGCCTAAAGGGAATAAATTGATGCTGGCCCCAGAGGTGGGGGATCCAATTTCATTTCCACAAGGAAGGGAAGAAAACAGAAGCGGCCTGGGGGCGAATGAGCTGCTTATCTATCATCTCGCTATATCTCTTCTTTTCCAGATAGACCTGAGCACGGGAGTAGAATGATCTGAGGCAGTCGGAGGCCCCTGACTCTCCTTCAGAGCTGGCTTTGAATAAGCCTGTTTCTTTTTTTTTCTTCTAACCAAAATAAATGGCCTCCAAGTGTGCCTTGGGGAATGGTGAGTAGGACTGGGAGACAGAAACTCCGTATTTTTTCCAGGCCCACCAAGAGTCATTCCTTCAGAAGTGAACAAGTTCTGAAACCAGAACTGATTACATAAATCTGAGGGGCCTCCAAATTAAAAATGTAGGGATTCACGTGAAAAGATTGTCAAGACCAAGCTTGATGGCGGTGCAGGCCTCTAATCCGAGCATGCTGGGAAGCTGAGGCAGGAGGATTGCAAGATTGAACCTAGCCTGGGCAATTTAGTGACATACAACAAACTGTCTCAAATGAGAAGACAAAACCTTAAACGTGTCTGGGATGTGGAACCTGAATTTATTCTACCTCTGTGGTAAGGAAAAGTCCAGGCTGAGACACTTGGGGAGAAAGTCTAGTGTCCCAGGGTCCTGCTCAGCTCTGCTTTTCTCTTGTTTGACAGTTTTTCTGTTCCTCTTCCTCAGAGTGGAACTCTTCCTCGGGTCATTGCTTTTTATTTAATTTGTTTATTTATTTGTACCAGGAATCCAACTCAGGACCTTGTGCTTGCCAGGTGAGCCCTTGTGCCACGGAGCTATACCCCCAGCGGTCACTGCTTTTAAAAGTATCAGTTCTGGGCTGGGGATACAGCTCAGTGGCATAGTACCTGCCTGGCAAGTGTAAGTCTTGAGTTTGATTCCCAGTATCAAACAAAAAAAAGTATCAGTTCTATTTCTCTGCCTTAAAAGGTCCAAGACTATGTTATCTTCTCCTATGATTCTTAAACCCTAGCCTCTGGCTCTCAGATCAACATTTGTATTTAGTAATCTATTTTTTATCAGCTAATCCACTTATTCTAGTAGTGAGTCAGCTATCATTTCTGGCACCTGAGAAAATCTTAATTGCTCTCTCTCAGCTCAGTCACAGATTTCAATTTTTAAAAAAGTTTTCTGCAACATATTTCTGGGTGTAAAAATTCATCTTACGAATTTTTATTCTGTTCTTCCTTAGCTCAGCACCTAAACTGCTTTTCAACTCTGTTCAATCACGGATATAATAGTACTGGGTTTCTCTACTCCTAGCACCCTTTGTACATCTATTTTGCC